CTTGGCTTTTACATTTTCAATGGTATCAGAAGCTTCAACTTCAAGAGTAATAGTCTTTCCCGTAAGANGTTTTGACAAAAATTTGCATTCCACCTCTCAAACGCAATACTAAATGTAGTGTTGATTCTTTTTGAATATTATAATCCGAAAGTGTACGACCATCTTCCAGCTGTTTACCAGCAAAAATCAATCTCTGTTGATCGGGAGGAATACCTTCTTTATCCTGAATTTTAGTCTTAACATTTTCAATAGTATCGGATGCTTCAACTTCTAAAGTAATAGTTTTTCCTGTAAGAGTCTTAACGAAAATTTGCATACCACCACGAAGTCGTAGAACGAGATGGAGGGTTGATTCTTTTTGAATATTGTAATCGGAAAGAGTACGGCCATCTTCCAATTGTTTTCCAGCAAAGATCAATCTCTGTTGGTCAGGAGGAATACCTTCTTTGTCTTGAATCTTGGCTTTTACATTTTCAATGGTATCGGAAGCTTCAACTTCAAGAGTAATAGTCTTTCCCGTAAGAGTTTTGACGAAAATTTGCATACCACCACGAAGTCGCAAAACAAGATGAAGTGTAGATTCTTTTTGAATATTATAATCAGAAAGTGTACGACCATCTTCCAATTGTTTTCCAGCAAAAATCAATCTCTGTTGATCGGGAGGAATACCTTCTTTATCCTGAATTTTAGCTTTAACATTTTCAATGGTATCTGAAGCTTCAACTTCTAAAGTAATAGTTTTTCCAGTAAGTGTTTTGACAAAAATTTGCATTCCACCTCTCAAACGCAATACTAAATGTAGTGTTGACTCTTTTTGAATATTATAATCAGATAATGTACGTCCATCTTCTAGTTGTTTACCAGCAAAGATCAATCTTTGCTGATCTGGTGGAATTCCTTCCTTGTCTTGAATTTTCGCTTTTACATTTTCAATGGTATCTGAGGCCTCTACCTCCAGAGTTATTGTTTTACCTGTCAATGTTTTGACAAAGATCTGCATGATTATCTGTAAAAAAAAAAATTATTTAATATATTAATTAAGATAAATATATTTAATGGCAAAATTTATTTTAAAATATGAAATTTTATTTGACTTATATATATTTTATAATATAAGAATAAGAATATTATTTTTATACTGAAAAGTTATGTTTCAAGAAATATATGGATAGAAATATATGCATAATTTAGAAGAATATATATATTTTTAACTTGTAAAATAATATAAATAGTTAAAATAATATAAATAATTTTATAATTCATAAGAGCAAAAAAATATAAAAAAAATATTTCTAAATATTATATTTATTACAATATTAGTATAATATATACATATAATATATTATACTTATTAGTTTTAGATTAGATTAGTGTGACTTTTATTTTTAAAAAATAAAAAATTGTGATTCATTTTGTATTTTTTAATACTTTCAAATAAAATTTAAAAATATATATTTTAAAATCTCATTAAATCTCAAATATTTTAAAATTACATTCATATTATAATATTTAGTAAAATTCATATTATAATATAAATGCATGCTTTAATATTCTATAAATTTTATTCATACTTTATCTATCTATTGATGAATTGAATAATGAGTGTAAAATATGCAAAAAAAATATAAAATAAATGATTTTGCAGTAATAAATCGAAACTTTTATTATTTCTATAGATAATTTCCATTGAATAGCACAATATTATATATTATAATATTATATATTAAAAAAATAAACTTGCTTAATTGTAATCATAATTTTATGCATTGGATTTTTAATAACAAATAATTTTATAGAGGTGATTCCTATGTTACCGATCATCTGGCACAACCAAAAATCTAATTCAATTCTATCAATATCTAATTTTCAATTGATATATTTATAAATTAAACAATTCATATATCATATTATATATTTTATGTATAGATATGTTCTTCTACAATTAATCTTGTATTGATTTTAAAATAATCAATATGAATTTTCTACCGACCTAAGCGTTACATATAATATGTATATTTAGAGATATTTTTTTATAAAATAATTTTTAATAAAATGATTTTGTAAACTCAATACTTGATTTTTGGATCTTCAAAATAAAGTTTTCTTTTTAATGTATATCTTTTCATATGTTGCATTCACATACTGATTTATATATATATAATCAGTATATATTTATATACTTATATATATATATAAAGCAGTATGTGAATGCAACATATGAAAAGATATACATTAAAAAGACAACTCATATATATATAATTTTAGCTTATATATATATATGAGCTCAAATTTCCTCAATTTAAATAATAATTAAATAATTAAATATAATTATATTATATATTTAAATTATTATTACTTTCATCGATGAAATTTAACATGAAATTATCGAGTTATCATATATTAAATAGTTTTGCAATTTTCAAATTTATATTTAATTTTTTAAAATCAATTCTTATATTTTTTCTTATATTTTAATCGTCAAATAGTATCGAAAAATATCAAAATTTATCAAAAATTTTTTATATTCCGAAACGAAATTTATCTTATATTTCTCTTAAAATAATTCTATTTCACTAAATTCGTTTGTTTTATATTTTGTTCACATTTATGATAAAATATAAGATGAATTTCAATATGCGTGCTAAATGTCATAGTCATAATGGCGTCATGTGATGAATCAATAACCGCCATTTTGAGTACAGTTATTACGCAGTAAAAATGTGAAACATTAAAATAAGATTTTATTTTTGTGAAATTAATTTCATAATCACTTTTCTATATTATAATTTTATTATTCAAATATTATTACTAATTTACTGATATATAAAAAATATATATTATGAAATTATTTCAGCAATAAATTTTAAATTCAATACTTATAATCGATGCTTTCAAAAACATTATTTTGTCTTAATTATTATTTTATTTTTTTACAAAAAATGATTTAAATGTGTACAATCAATTTTAGAATAAATAAATTATTTAAAATGAAAAAATATGTGAATATAAATAAAATCAATAATTATCAAAAAATCTTTAATTATCAAAAAAATATTAAAATTTAAAATAAGTAAAATCGTAAATACAATAAAAATGGAAATTCTTACCTTCCTTGGAAGTAGTTTATGATGCAGCAAAAATTTCTATAAAATTTAAGAAGTCTCACGAAGTTCTTCCTCTAAAAGCACTCTGAAATACCTTGTAGAACTGAATAAAGGAAACGACAAACGTTCCTTTTATGTCAATGAGAGAAAACTGTACTGATCATGCGCAAACATGTCAGGAGATCTCTACAAAGATGCCTATTGGATTATATCTTGTATCGTCATGGAATCTCTGACGTTGCTACGTTCTATTGGTTTCTGAGACAAAGAGTATTTTTTATGTAATAAAATTTTGTTAAATTAATGTCGTTTATAAAATTATTTATAGTAAATTATTATTTTTGGAATAATGTATTTTCTTCAACCAAAAATTTTATTTATATGCACGTTTCTTTGAACTGTCACATTTTGACAGTAATAAACAGCTAGAGGGCGCCTGGAAAAATTGTTGAATAAAGAAAAGTGATGATTCATTGTTTTTATTACTAGCATTGCTTTTTCTAATAAATTTTTTATACAATTTATATTTAGCATAAATAACATTAATTTTAAGAATAAAAAAATATTTAAAATTTTATATGAATAAGAATATATGAATAGGTTATATTAAATATCAAATACATAGATTCGATATTAAATATATTGTTACCGTTTTTAAATTCGATATTAATTTGTAAAAATTTATTATAAAATATTAAAAAATTTATTATA